CGAATGCAGGCAGCAGTCCAAATCACGCCACATGGCAAGGGCCACACAGCTTTCAGAACCCCCCTGATAATCACTGGGAGTGCTCTGCTGGCTTAGCCCCTGGAGGCAGGCACTGCTGACTCAAAGGCATACTCTGTTGGTTCAAGTCCACCAGCTGCTGCTTAGGAGGGTGGGCAGTCTCCTCTCATGTGACTCACCCCCTTGGGGACCCAATGAAGTCAGGTGTGAGTTGGCATCAACTTGATGGCGATGCACTGTGCAGCCACTTGGGTACCCTAAGCACAGCCTTCCAGAGCTCGGGAGTCACGAGCAGAGCGCCAAAGAAGGGCATGAAATGAAAACAACTCACACCAAATGGGCCCAGAGCCTGAGCTGGGGCTGATGGGCTCCAGACATGCACCTGCGCCTGCAGAGGCCATGGACGCGGAGGCCAGAAAAAGGGTCCAACTCGTGCTGGGGTCACACTCCCGGCAAACAAGAAACAACCAGCAGAGTGACCACTGTGACACGGTGGCCCCTGCAAGTCCTACGTGGCTCTCCTCTAGCCCGGCCACGAAGCCACCTGACCAGGATGTCCTTTAGCACACCCGCCCCGAGCTCAGGGGGCTGTGCAGACAGCACACCCGCCCCTAGATGGTACCCTATCCTGAGCTCTGGGAGCAGTGCAGACGGCATAGCCACCCCGAGCTCAGGGAGCAGCGCAGATAACACACACCCACACCCCCCCACCGCTCTCCCTGGAAGCATGCACCAGCGACTGTACTACTGGGTGCAGATCTGCTGGAAGCTTCTGGCACACACTCACCGAAGCAAGCTCCTGGACCCACACAGCTCGAGGGCTTATCAATCTGGAAAGAATTCACAGCTAAAGGGGTAAGTCAGAGCTGAGTACACACATCAGCATCACAGCCAGCCTCCTAGCTCAAGACCAAGCAGGAAGCACCTTATTTAAGAAAGTAACACTCAACAGCTGGGGTTGTCTCCAAAGCCAATGTGGTCCCTGAGGCTGGAGCAACGACCACAAAGGGTGGCACCAGGAGGGCAGGTAAGTGGTTTCCGGACCGGGGCGCTGTCTACACGTGTGTTCAAGACGTGACAACTCACTGAGCTGTCCCTGCTGGGATGTGCTTATGAACTCAAGTAACAAATGTACGCCAGCATGGGGACAAGAATTTAAATTCCGACTCATTTGCTTATTGCCTTAATTCTCCTAAGAAAAATTTTAAAAACCTAACGGAAACTTGTTCGTTCAAACTGAGGCAAAAGCGAACTCCTTTTCACAGGGCCTGCTCCCTTAACCAGGAGAGCACAGCCGGGACTGGGTCTCGCTGAGGACAGGAGAGCACGGGTGGTGTCTGCAGGCTGGAGGATCCCTGTGGGCCGGACTTGACCCGACAGCAGTGGAGGGAGAGCTGAGTTGGGGCAGACACATGAACCAGGGATTCATACCCATCTTCTCACAAGGACGGACGTATTGGTGGCATGAGGTGCTGTCAAGCCGACCGTGAGGCACAGTGACCCTACGAACAGCAGATGTGAAGCTTCCCCTCCCGTGCCGTCCTTATCGTCTGACAGACGTGAGCCCAGCGTTCATCACGGCGGCATGCCATCCTCCTGAGGGGCTGACCGTCTCGCTCCCAGGGACCAACTCCTCCAGACAATGTACCTGAGAACGCGATGCGCTCTGACTGCCCGCAAGTCCTCCAGTGCACAACTAGGAGATGCACGCGGAACACTTGGCAACAGGGTACTCAAGGGCCCTGGTGACACAGCGGTGAAAGCCCTTCTGACTGAGGCAGGATGAACAGGTAAGCAACCATCGGTGCTAACAGCACCCAGGCACCTAACCATAAACGACCACGCAGGGACGCCCCAAGGGGCATCTGCTTCCCTCTAAAGGATCCTGCTGGAGCACATGAGCAGCTATATAGCCTTGGTGACTGTGGCCAGGCATGTGCCCCTCGCCCAGGGGAGTGACAGTCCCTCTGTGCACAGGCTCTGGGCCAAGCAGGTGGCCCCGAGGTGAGTATGACGACCCCTGTCCTCAAGGAGCTGCAGTCTAGTAGGGATGGCACATACTAGACTGTGAGCTCCTCGAGGGCAGGAAGAGTGTCTCATCTTTGCCCCTGTGGTGAGCGCCAGGCACAGCCACCATGGGAGGGCCCAGCAGGGCGTGAGGCGCAGAGGACAACGCAGGAGAGCAACCCCCTAGGTAGCAGGACAAGGACAAGAAGAAGGAAGTGCTCCGAGACTCAGGACCAGGCTGCTTACCTGGGATTCTACATAGTGGTACGTGATGTGGCCAGGGAGACTGAGGGAGGGGCAACGCACGAGCTGTCCCAGGCTGAGGGGGTCAAGGGTTGGGGAAGGGTCATGAGGAAAGCATGTGCTGACACAGAAGGCAGGATGGGTGTGGGAGACCCCGAGACAGAGATAAAGATGCAGGTGGCAGGACAGCTTGAAGGAAAGTGGAGGAAGGGTGGGTTTAAGAGGGGCTGGCTCTGCTCTTGAGAGGAGGTGCTGTCGCGTCAACTGTGACCTACAGCAGCACGATCAAGGGTGGCTGTGAACCCTCCCTGTGATCATCTCTGACACACCTGGGCTCACTTCTGTAGTCACTGTGTCAGGCCATCTCGTTGAAGGTCTTCTCTTACACTGACCTTCCACCTCTTTCCAACGGGGATGGAGTCTTTCTCCAAGGTCGGATCTCCTTACAATGTGCTCAAAGCACTTGAGACAAAACTTCACCGTCTTCGCCCTGGTTGCACTTTCTCTAGGATAGGCCTGCTCGTTCTCCCGGCAGACACGGGATATTCAGCACTCTTCTCTCAATTCTAAGGCGTCATGAGCAGAGGACGACTCATCAATAACCCACGTGACACAGACGACACAGTCCTGCTCCCTCTAGGTGCAGAGGACCTGAAGTGCTTAATGCAGATCAAAGACTGCAGCTTTCCATATGGATTACATTTCAACACCAAGAAAACCGAAATCCTCACCACTGGGCCAACGGGGAACATCACAGAAAGAGAAAGGACTGACATCATCAACAATTTCATCTTAGTTAGATCTACAACCCTTGGTACTAGAAGTCAGGAAATCAAAAGAACCATAATAGGGAAAATCTGTCGTTCGGGACTTCTCTAGAGTACTGAAGAGCAATGATGTGAGTTTAAAGACTAAGGTGTACCTGATCCACGTCATGGTCTTCTCAATTGCTTGCTATGCATTTGGGAGCTGGACAGTGACTAAGAATTAAAGAAGAATCTGTCTTTAAGCTGTGGTGCTGGAGAAAATAGCCAGTTACAGAGTAGACAGGGACATGTGTAAGACGAGCAGGCTAACGCAAGCAGAGCAAGTGCACATGAATCGGAGAAGCAGGAAGAGTGGTCAGCGAACAGAGGCCTCGGCCAGCATCAGAGACCTGACTGAGCCTCACTTGCAGCCGACAGACACACAGAGGGCAGAAACCTGGAGGTTAGCACATACTGAATTTCATGGAAAGGACAAGTCAGTTATGTGCAACTCAAGGAATGAGACATTTTAAATCTCTAGTTTTGACAGGAAGAGAATACAGGGGTTAAATTACACACGGTAAGAAACCAAGGGCCTTGTAGCTTGAAGAAAACCCAAGACAGATAAGAAGGTGTTCAGCAGGCTGTGAAGGTCTACCCTGTGAAGGGAGAGGGGGTGTTTTTTTATGGGCCCGAGAAAGGGCAGGCGGTCTACTGCGCCATCCGCTCGCTGGACTGGGCCTCGTGTCTGCTACTGGAGCCACAACACTCAGCAAAAGCTGCTGCATTTTATGTATGCCTCCCCACAGCATCCTTTTCTCCAAGGACCAGTCACGGCCCAAAGAGGATGTGAGCTGTCAACATGCTGGATGTGAAGGTGGCATATGATCTTTAGACCCTGGTATTTTGTGATTTTACTGAACAAGACTAAAATTTAGCAAAAGAAGAAAATCTCACCTAACTTGGGAAATGCCCTAAGTGTGAAGTGAGGTCTGTCACTGAGCGCCAGGTGTAGGCAACAGGTTAGGGTACACAGGCCCTAACTTGCCAGGCACTCAGGAAGCATTTATGAGGTGCCAGGTTGCACTTGGCATTGAGGAAACAGAAGTAGGAAACACACACCCTGGTCCATAAAGGGTACCTTATCCAGCAGGGACCTGACAGCAAAAGGCCAAAGCACACTGGGAATAGGGTGGCCCCTGAGCAGACCTTTCCCTCAGAATGCCACATGCCACGTGGCGTTCGGTGCTCCCCCAGGCCTGGGACTCTCAGTGCCTAGCACACCACAGAGGTCCCCCTAACGATGGCTCAAAAGAGACTAGAGGCTTCGAACAGGAAGAGAGATGCTAATACGGTGTTGGAGGAGTGAAGTATTTACAGGGGTGTGGCTGACTAAGAAGTTTCCCAAGTAACATTTCAGCTGGTTCTCAAGAATAAGGAGGTAAAAACAGGCCATGAGTAAGAGAAGTATACCAGGGACTGATGGGAGCGCAGCGTGTGTCCGGGGACTGCTGGAGGGAACAGCTGTGGGCTGGTAAGAGTGTAAGTACTCAGGTACCGCTGAGGAACCACGCGTGGATGTAGGAGTGTAGACTACAGTCGTTAGGTGCTGCGGGAGGGCAAGGGTACACGGACATGTGGACGTGTACCAGGGAAACAAGGGCTCGGGTACCACAGGAGTAAAGGCTGCCAGGAGGAAGAGGGAGATGCTGTCTGAGACACAAACCCGAAGCACTGTGCACTCATCCCCTGCAGGCTTTGTGAGCCACGCCAAGCCTGTCAGAGCAGGGGGAGAGCCCTGACCGTGAAGGATTATAAGTGACTGCCTAATAAGGTACAGAGACACGCACACGGGCTCAATGAAACTCTACACAAGAACCAGCCGCCCTCAGCCGCCTGAATGACATGACCTGAAGGTGCTACCACTGCAGAAGGGACACGTGGCCACACCTGCCCCCCTCCAGGCCTGTCCACGCTGGCTCCTACCTGAGCTGAGCTTTGAGTTCAGTGAACCTGGGCCGCCTGCTGGGGTCGTAGGCCCAGCACTTCGTCATAAGGCTGTAGAGGGTAGGAGGACAATTTGGAGGCATTGGCAATCTCTCCCCATTTTCAATCCGACCGATCACATCATTGTTCTTCACTCCTTGAAAAGGCTTCACACCATGCATCAAAATCTCCCACATACACACACCTGTGAAGTGGGAATGAGAAAATCAGTGAATGAGCATGCAGGCTGCAGTCCCAAGCTCGGGGGTCTCCACGGCTGGCCCTGGACTGGCCCTGCTGTGATTCGGGCAGACAGTCTCACCTGAGTAAAATTCAACTGACACCAGTACAAATTTAGAACGTGACGCCACGTGGACACGACACCAACAGTGAAACGGTGAATTAGTAGCAAGGACAAAGCCAATGTCCCCAACAAGCTGATTTTCCTGAAAATTCTGCATTAGCAAAGGGCTCGCCCACAGTGGAATCACGGATTCCAGGTCCTTGTGCGGAAGCTGCAGGACTTTCCCCTCCTGAGCACACTGGCCCCGCAGCTGCTGCCCCTGTTGTGACCCCCTCTGCACGCTGGCTGGCAGCCCGTGTGGCTGTGGTGCGGCACCTGGCTTCCGGAGGGCTCGGTCATTATCCTCCCTACAAAGATTTCTAGAAATCTCCAGGCTCCTTGGACCTGGCCCACACGCTCGACAGTGCACCTACTGGCACGGGCAGACCTCAGACATGCCGCAGGCTTAGGTCCGGGACAGCGGAGCGAGCACGTGGACCGTGTACTTCTCCAGGGCACCGGGAAGGTCAGTTTGCACCACACCACAGCCTGGGAAGGGTGCAAGCGTATTATGAAGGTCTGCAGAGCTCTGAGAATGGACGAAATATGACACAGTGAGCACATGTGGCTGGAAGGCCTTGCTTGGTGCAGGGCTGCCATGAACCTTTCAGCATCTGCCAAGTGCAGGACAATGAGGTGCACGTGTACCTGATTCACTCTGACACCAACGGGGAACACTGGGTCGGAGAGCAGAGCGCACACAGCGCAGCGCCTGGGCACTACCGCTCGTCAGCCAGCCCTCCCTCTGCACATGGCCACCTGGGCATCTTGTCACCCATGCACCCAGGACACACACACCTTGCTCGCACGGACATCTCCACCACGAGCGCCCCTGTGTTAGTCTCACAATCGGCCCACTCTCCAGGCAAGTTTTTTTTTCTTCTTCTCAAACAGTTTAATAGCAAATAAACAAAGGAAGGTACCACACTTGGCAGATACAAAATGACTTTTTGTCCGTGTGTCTGTGCAATTAAAACAGATTTAGGTTCCCGGTTGGGACAAAAGGAAAAACACACAAAAAGGAAGGCAATTCCTTTTAGACAGATACTCCCTTGCTTCAAACTTGTAACATTTTTTTTAAATCCACTACACAAACTCTGTGATTAACGCAAGTTCTCTCTCCAGCTCCTCCTGACTCCTCGGGACGAGCCCCCTTCCGCTGTGCTGAGTGCCTGGCCCTGTGGAGGCCACTGTGTCTTTATTTCTGCATGTTCAGTTCCTACCTAATTACCATCTATCAATGCGATGGACACTCTGCAATTAGTCGTAACTCCCAAGAATGTCAAAACAAAGAATCTTGGGTAACAATGATGCCTCTGTTCTGTTTCTCCTCACCAGAACCCACAACATGATGAGTGTGTTTTGTCTGAGAGCTCCCTATGTCCCTGGCACGCTTCCTTGCAACGGACATACAGAACCCTGAAGCTGGCATTTAAACAATACCGCAGTTTATCAGTGGGAGCTCTGGCCATCGAGTGTGCGGGGAGCTGCACTGATAATCCAAAGGTGGTGCTGCTTTGGTCCAAACCCCGCAGTTCTCCTTGGGCGGAGGCTGGGCTGTCTTTTCCTCTGCAGTTTAGGGCCTCCTGGAATCCTGCTGGAGGGTCAGCCAGGAGTCTCTCTGATTCAAGAGCCGAGTGAGCATTTCATCAAAATCAAGATACCGCTGACCCTGCTGTGTGTGCAGAGAGGCTCCCGCTCCCAGTCACCCGTACGCCTCACAGAAGCAATTAAACCAAAGAAAAACTCAAGATCATCTACGGGTGTGAGTCCCTGCTGACATGAAGCACTGTGTCTGTAAGGGAGAGAGTGCACCCAGATAGAAGGAGCGCAGGGGCCAGCAGAGTGGGGGCTGGAGGTGCCGGAGACACCTGTTACATAAGGCTTCCGGGAAGGGGACCTGGAAGGCCAGGATTTCACCAGGTGGAGAGGAGATGGGTAAAGCATGCCAGGCAGAAAGACAAGCCAGGAGAGGTGGGCTGAGGCGTGCCATCCTTCAAAGAGTATCCGCACACTTCAGGTCAACAGCTGATGTAGCAGGGCTGCGTCAGACCACCCTCTCACACACCCTCAACAGAACTAGGCGACTGAGACTGGAGGAGGAGCCCCAGCCGGAGCTGCAGGAGAATCAGAGCAGACCCTGAAGAAGGGAACCTCGATCAGAGAAAGCCAATTCTCTGACCTGAGGATGACCCGAGAACAGCAGGCCTCCACCCCAGGCCAGATGGAGACGGAAGGCAGGTCCACAGTAGTCCCGGCGCCCTGCGCCAGGCCTGAGGCAAGTCCTGGTCACTCACTCCAAAGGATGACAGGGAAGGGGGATGAGAGACAGCAGGCAGTCAGGGTGCCGCCCTGGTGAGGGAGGAAGGGCAAAGGTGGGGAGAGCACAGGACGGAGAGGTGGACACATCTGTCACCACACGCAGAATGAACCAGAGGAGAGAAATGGCCAGGCGGCAGGGGACGGAAGACACTGACACCTGCCGGACAGAGACGCCCTGTTTACTACGCAGAAGATAAAAACCCCCAAATTTACAAAAATGACGGTTTAAAAACACTCACCAAACATCCAAACATCACTAGCTGAGGTAAAACGTCGAAAATTAATGGACTCTGGAGCCATCCACTTAATAGGCAATTTTCCTTTGGAAGCTGGAAGGCAAATTTTAGAAAGTGAAATCTCCCTACTGTCCCTGAGAGAGGAGCGCTTAGAGCTAATGGAGCTTCAAGCTCTGATGTCTTTTTTGCTGAGGTCACTGGGGGTGTTAGGGGTTGCACTGGGGTGAGCTGCCTCCCTCGTGGAGCGGCAGCTATGTGGAGAGGAGAACAGGCCTGCCCTCCAGGGGCTGCTGCTCTGTGGTGAAGGGTCCAGGACTAACACAGCAGACAATGCTCTTCAGACGGGAAGAGTGTACTCTAAATGTCCTGATGGCACTGTCCGGAGGGGCACAGACCAGGCACACCCTTTGCTTTGAGAGGCTGAGACTATTTCCTTTCAGACGCTCAGCAAACGCTCCCTCAGGCTCCAAGTCACCTTCCCTCAGGGATGCCCACTCCAGCGGGTGGTAGGGAGCAGGGGTAGGCTCCTACCAGATGTGGGCATCACGGATACAGACTAAGGGCACGGGGACGCGGGGTCTGCAGGCTGGGGTGGGAGGTGGAGGGGACGCAGGGACTGTCAACCAGGGACAGGACGTGTAGGTTAGAGGGGAGCCACGATCTGGGGCCTCTGACCCCTGCTAAGCCTTCTTATGATGAAGGGCGAGGTTAAGGAGAAGGTTTGGTCCTGTGGCCAGCTGCCTCAGCCCCATCAGGTGTCTAGAACAATTTTTTTTTGCATCTCTGCCAACAATGAGCTGGGCCTATCAGAACAGAGACTTGGAGCCTGCTCCCACCTACTGCTCTAATGTCTCACCTTTGTAGTAAGTACTGTCTTCCATGTATCGGGACAATCCAAAGTCTCCCAATTTTACACAGTCCGTAGAGGAGACTAGAACATTCCGAGCAGCAATATCCCTGGTAAGTAAGATGGGAGGCAATACATTTTAACAGACCCACACCAGAACCACAGTCCAAGGGCATCCGTATGAAGAGAAGCCCGCTAACATGCATCAGTGCTGACCCTCAGCTGCCCAGGGGGTTTCTGAGTGTCAGTCTCTAAAGGGACAGATCCCCACATCCTTGGCACAGGGCTGGCAGGCTGGTTCACATGGGACCTTTAGGCTTCTAGCTCAATGACCACAACATAGGCAGGGATTCGATGAAAACAGTCTGTACTGTAAAAGAACTCATAAAACACTACACAACATGGGTGCGCCTGGAGGACATCACGCTCAGTGAAATATCTTAATCACAGAAGGACAAACACTATATACTACGTTTATAAAACAGGTCTGACATGGGGGCTTGGGGGAAGAATGGAGAATGAGTGGACAGATAATGAACACTGCATTGGAACAGATGAGGGGAAGAATGGCTCAAAAGGAATATATGATTAGGTATGAGATATATTTATATACATACACACACACACACACACACATAAAATACAATATGATTATGACAACAATCTCGTACAATACACATTACAAAGTGGACTGGGAAAGGGGCTGGGAAGGGAAGGGAAGGAAATGTGCAACAATTAATGAGAAGAATGCTTCTATACAAGGCAAACAGGCTTCACCAAAGATTTTTTAAAGATACTCTTTCAAAATTGCAAATACATATAGATAGATAGATATAATTTTTTTTTGCACATAAAGGATTTATTGTAAATGTCTTGAGGATAGAGTAGAGTTACATCATAAAAATTACAGGAATAACAGATTTATATTGTTTATACTTCCAAATGCAAAGAATAGGGGACTGCATATATATTATACAAAATAAAATGAAAATTAAAAACGAATTCAAGCTCTAAAGATGTGGTCATTCACCTGATCTTACAATGTGAACATGAAGACCTCTGAACTACACACTTTGATTTAAAGCACACCAATGATGTAAAAGACAAAAAGCGCAGCATTTCCAGGAACCAGAAACATTTCAACCATGATGATTTTCCAAGGTAACTCTTTTGTCATTGAGAACTCTTCTTTTTCTTCTATAAAATACAATCTCCGTATGATTTTTAGGCACTACTTTTGGCAGTCTAACAGTCCTCTGATGGAGCTACAGCTTTCAAAAATTCACGTTTACTGTACTTTGGGGTTTGGCACACAAAACAACAAAAATGGTACTTCTTTTTTAGAAGCTACTGGGGTTTTTTGGTTTTGATGTGTTATAGTTGTTTTTTAAAAAATGTAATAGTCCCTTCAAATGCTTCAAGACGTGGACAAGTGAAAAACTACCTTCTGTTGGCATCACACTTACTTCACCATTGCATTTTTTTTTAATCCTACAACCACTAACACAGCACAGTAAGCAAATATACTTTAAAAAAAAAAGGAAAAAAAAACCCTAGGTACCATTAACATGCATAAAATTGCAAATAGCACATATTAACAATCATTGTTTTTGAAGGTGGCAAGTATAATCTTCAATAATGAAAAAGTTCCTTACTTTTCAAAAAATCACGTTAGTGACTGTCTTAACTGATGACAACACACAACAGACGTTTCTAGAGACCTCGCTAAACACAGTGAGAGCTCTCTTGGAAACAGCTCTCAGGGATTCTGCTGGTGACCTCTGTTTTACTGGCAGAAACCACCTCTCTAGCTACGCAGTGAACAAAAGGGAAGGGCTTTTAACTGCCCTCAGACAGTGAGAAGCTGGAGATGCCAGTGGTCGAGGGAATAAGGAGATGTGTTGCACTGGGAAGTCTGCAGTTAGGGACCTCTCCAAGTTACTGAGGAGTAATGATGTCAGTTCGAAAACTAAGGTGTATCTGATTTCAGGACACGGTCTTCCTGATTACGGGCTATGCCCCTGAGAGCTGGACAATGAATAAGGATGGCAGGGAAAGACTTGATGCCTCTGAGCTGTGGTGCTGGTGAAGAGCACAGAACATCCCATAGACAGCTAAGAGAATGGACAGATAGGTCTTGGAGAGGGTGCGGCCGGGGTGCTCTTAGGAGACAAGAATGAGGAGGCTTTGCCTCACGTCCTTTGGGCATGTTACTAGGAGAGGCTGTTCCTTGCAGAAGGACATGATGCTGAGAGGGGTGGAGGGTCAGCAAAGGGAGGAAGACCCTCAACCAGGTGGACTGGCGTGGTGACTGCTCCAATGAGCTCTTGTGTGTCAGAAGTGTGAGGAAGGCGCAGGACACAACAGGGTTCAGATCTCTTGTTCACAGCGTCGCTATCAGTTGGTACTCAACTCAACGCCACCGAGTAGCAACAACTGGTCACTGTAAGCTGGGCAGTCCCAGGCTAACATGTGTTGGGGCCGTGTCCACATCGCACAGCTCTGGGGTCAGGCATGGCTCTCAGCAGTACTCACTGGATGAATAAAGGACCCTGGGCCAGCAGACTGTACGCACACTCCCCAATACCTCTTCACCCCAGGACAGGCGGCAGCAAGACCGCCAGCACCCTGCACAGCCGACTCCAGCGGTGTAGGAAGGACCGTGCACTGCGGCCCTTCCCGCCCGGGCCTCCACTGGCTTCCCTGCTCCCAAGGCTACCACCTGGACCAGTGTCTTCCTTTCACTATTATTTAAAACATTATTTCAGTGTGTTTTCTATGAAGGAGCTCAGTGGCCAAGTGCTTGGTTGCTGACCATAATCATGCAAGCTCAAAACCTACAGCCGTGACGTGGAGAAGGATGGGGCAGTGGGACCCCCCCAGTCACAGCCCAGGACAGCAGGCAGGCCTGTTTCTCTACAGCGTCACTGGGCACAGCCACTTGACGGCATGAATGCTGTGTTTTGTGAAGTTTCCAGCCGTTTTGCTGCCCTTCAACAATCCCTGCCCTCGGCCCTGAAGGCACTGGTTACGTGTGTGAACACTCCCAGTTCTGTCCGGCTGCTCCACTGCCATTAATTCGGATCCCTGCCGCCTCACCTCTCCTTGGTTTTGAAATCAATGCTGACTCACACAGGTGATTGTGACTTCCAGGATGAGCCAGTGTGTGAGCTACACGGTGGCCTGTGGGCTGCTGTGCCACGTTAGCCCTTGTCGGTCTGAGGGACACACCCACCTGTGGACGAATCTTTTGCTCTCCAGATACGCAAGAGCAGTGCTGAGTTGGTACGCGTACAGGATCAGAGAGGCCAGGTCCAAATTGTACTTCCTGACTTGCAAAAACGACCTCAGCTTTGGGACGATGATCAAATGAAAAAAGAAAATAGTCAGGGACAAAGAAGAGACAGTCAATTAAAAAAGCAATCTTCAACACCACTCATTGTCTCCCAAGCATTTGCCCAACATTTCCACTCAGGAACAATGGTTTATCATTTTGTTTAAAAACCTAGGATAAAACCAAAATCTTAATGACTGTAATTTACAAGTACTGAAAACCTAGGGAATGAATAAAACCTTCATCACTGCTCAACAGAGGCCCGGTTACAGATGGAAGCTACCTACGCAGTAAAGCACCTGATCGACAGCCCCAGGAAGTCAGTCACTAAATGGCTCTCCCGCTTGAGGCCGGAAGGGTCTCCTCTCTCACCTAGCCCACCTCCGCCTCGGGAAGTTTCAGGTGTGAAAAGATGAACTAGACACATGTAGAGTAACCACACCACTGGGCTCACGAGCCCCCACCTGCCTGGATGTTGAGGTAACAGAAGGCAGGTGACTGAGAACCATTCAGTCCCAGTGTTCTAAACAAGAAGAACTACCACAGTGTCAAAAGTAGACCCTCAAAGTCATTGTGATAAAAATCAACCCCCACCACCATGTCCCCTGGTGGCAGTGCACGGAGGGGCGCCCTGACGTCAGAGCAGGCCAGGGAGCTGTAGGGGAGCCTCAGGTCAGGCCTTTCCAAGGAGGGAGGACAGGCCCCCAGCGACTCCTGCATTCCTGGAAAGGCTGGGGGCTCACTGACACCCAAGTGGCAGCTTGAAAACCAGGAGCACGCGCACCTTAAATGCGTTTGCATCGTTAAAGTTTAGTCCTGAGTGCTGCCACGGGGAAAGCGTGTCCCGGCGGAGCCACGAGCCCCTGGCGCAGAGGAAGGCAGAGCAGTACCTCTCCCAGCGTGCACAGCTCCATGATGATCCACACAGGGTTCTCCGTGATGACGCCAATCAGCTTCACGATGTGCGGGTGGTCAAACTGCCGCATCGTCACTGGGGAAGAAGCTCTGGTTAACTACAATCCTTCCGCGTTCCTGAAAACTAGGGTAGCTAGAGCCTGAGGCAAGTGATGCGGGTTCAAATCCGGGAAGAGGGCAGTTGGGCTCAGCCACAGGTGAGCTAGCTTCACAGGCACAGCCGACAGAAGAAAAGGGGACCTGGTGGTGCCTTCCCAGGGGCTGGAGTCCTGTGAGGGGGAGGGTAACAAGTCCTCATCCCCCTTCGTGGGCACAGCTGGCCTTGGGCTCACTCCCTCAGGCTTTTCACCTGGAAATTAAGTCAGAATGTGCAGAGCAGCGTGGCTCGATGCACCTGTCCAGTGAGGCCATGGGGCACAGCCTTGAGTGAGGAGTCTGGACCTGGGCGTGACTCTCACAGGCCTGGAACACGAGCACCACTGAAGGTAAGGGAGGCAGAGCAGCAGGACATAGCCCAGCCAGAGCTGCGCCACCTACACAGCAGGCTAGCTGGGAGGGAAGGCAGGTGGGAGCTGGACACATGGTCCTTGACCGTGTGTAATACACAGAGTTGTGCCCCAGAACCTAACACGCTGCTTTCCTTCTCCACAAACAGCCTGGCTCTCACTGACACAAAGTCAACGGTAGGTTTCACAGAAACTTGAAGACACTTACAGGCTTCTTGAAGGAATTTCTCTCGCACACTGTCCGAAGTGCAGTTTTTACATGTCTTAATTGCAACCGCCAAAGCTGGATTCTCCTGTTAGGAAAGTTCAAAAGTCACACACAGAAACAAGTTCGCGGCATTAGCCACTGGGCACATTCCCGGTAAGCTGCATGCTGGCAGCTCTGGGCCTGGGAACCAGAATGCACTATCTTGCCGGAGGAACCCTTTGGAGTGCCCTGTTACCCAAGAGTATCCCGGACACCAGAAGGACCTGCACGCGTGGACTACCGTGCACCCTGGAGTACCCGCATACTCAGGGCCTCCTCATACCTGTAGTACTCTGTGTGAAGCCCTCACCTGAGAGCCCGTGTGCTGGAGATGCTGCAGGCAGCTGAAGCCCAGAGGCCTCAGATGAGGAATTTCTGATCTAAGCCCCTCGTCATCAAAGGCCCTGCCTCACTCACTCCCGGCCTCCCCTTGACACTGCGCTCCGCCGACTGAGCAGGCTGGGCGGCACCAGGGGACAGGCACGGGCTGCAGCCTTGAGGAGACGCAGCTGCTGAGCAGGTGTTCCGTGCTGTCCCGTCAGTGTCCCCTGGCCACCAACGAAGGCAGGCTGCTGGTGAATCCTCACACAGCCGGGATCAGAGTATGGACCCCTTCCACTCCAAGGGCCCAATGATGCAGCCCTCACGTCATCCCACTTCTGCCCTCGAGGTGCAATGGTTAAATACCTGCCCATCAGTCAAAACGTTAGCAACGTGAACCCAGCAGCTGCTGGGGGAGGGGGAGGGATGAAGAGGCTGCTGCTCTGAGGTTCCACCCTGGAGGCTCCTGAAGGCGGCTCCCCTCCATCCTATAGAACAGCCCCTTCCCCAGGAGTAGGCAGCACCCTTGGCAGACAGGTGTGGAGAGCAGAGAGCCCCCGCTGGGAACAGTCCTGAAAATCCCGTGGGCCCCTCACTCTGTGACCCCTGAGTAACAACACCGTAACAGCCACTGGATTTTGTTTTATACCATACTATAAATGACATAAAATGCCCATTATATGGAAAATCTGAAAGACAGCAAAGCCTTTTCTTGCCTACAAGACTATCATCCACGCTGTTACTTTTCAAACACCTGCTGAACACCTGATGTTTTATACAGTTCAGAAATCGTGAAGATGACGCCCCTTCTGGGGCCGCATGCAGGCAGAGGGGCAAGAAGGCTGGTGCTGAGGGCAGCCCTCCCGCCCTCACCATCTCAGCAGTGCTTAAAGCACAGTGTCAGTTGCCACCCAAAACCACTGTGGAAGGACCTGCCTTCCCTTTGCTGCCTCTTCACCTCTCCAAGAACTGGCCCTGCCTGACACCATGCCTCCAGGGGCCCCGTCAAAACAGTCACTAATTCTTATGGTAGTCCAGGGTGTATTTAATAATCTTCAACACTCCAATTGGAAAGTATCAACCCTTCTGTCTTTCTCCTGAATCGTCCAGCTTTCAAATATCTATGAAGCAAACAAAAACAGCAGGGCATAGGTGAGGGTCCCTTAAACTTTCAACAGGGCATTCTTGATCTCTAGCCCTTTAAGGAAGTCCTTCACAGGCGATATGCCCCGCACAGCGTGCTATCTGACTTCCTGATTGCTGGATCCAAGCAAAAGAAAATCCCCGACAACTTTATCCTGATGTTGCCTATGGGTCAAGCTGTAGGGATTTCTGTTGTCCTGATGCTGAGGTATAATCCCCATTGAAGGCTGCAGTCTTTGATCTTCTGCAGTATGTGCTTCAAGTGTCATTTTCTGCAAACAAGGCTTTGTCCTCGTAGGCTGCTGACTCTTTCTCCCAGCCTGACGTCAGTCTTCATTTCTCCCTAAGAGGGACAAAGCTGACACCTGCTGCAACACTGATACGTCCTTCAAAGTTGAGGGGAGTGACAGAGCCAGTCACGGAGCTTCACACACCGCACGGTTCCATCTGTGAGAACTGCCCACAGGAAACAAGTCCTTAGACACAGAAAACCGGCTGGTGGAGCGAGGAGGAACAGGGGGTGACTGCGAGCAGGTACAGAGGAGATTCTCTGTGAGGCGCTAAGACACGCTTCCAAGATGCTCAGAACCACCAAAATGAACCCTTTTAAAAAAAGCAGGTTTTATGTCTGTTAATTATTCTTCAAGAAAACGATTATTGAGGAATATATAAAAATGGCACTCAGCTCTTCTGGAGAGCATATTAATCCTGGCCCCAAGTGGCTGCCGACTAACAGCCCCGAAGGCCCACACAGCAGGCTCTTAAAGGAGCCATCTATATGGGAGGAGGGGGGCTGCTCTCCCCAGTGGTGACTGGCAGGTTCAAACGCTGAGCTGCTGGTTTGTAGCTGAACGCCTTACCCACAGCACCACCAGGGCTCTGAGGAGGGTGCTCTCTGGGACAAACGGATTCTCCTCCTTAAAAATGCAGGTGAACTGGAATACTGGCTAACTAGCTCTATGACAAAGTCCATTCACCGTGTCATTAGTGTCACACATGGAAGCTGTCACTGATGCCACAGGTCAAGCCAGCTCTCTCTGGAGCGGACCTGGCAATGTGCTGGTTTCTCACACTCCAAGCCAGCTGACAGATGACCGTCATCATAGACTACAGCATGTGGCCGGGGGTGCTGGGCACTCAGACAGGCACGCACGAGGAGCTTGCGATAGAGTCAAAGCCTAGGCTTCTGTACCAAAGAGACTTACTGGGCTCAGGTACACTCCCTGATGCACGTCTCCAAACTGGCCTTCTCCAATACAGCGTCCAAGCTCTATTCTTTCTCTTTGAATCTCATAATCCCTGGCTGCAAAACATGACCCAAATATTAAAAAGTGTCAAGTATAATATTCCAGTCATAGAAATTACACTCAATACATTTCAGTTTTATCATCCATGAATAAAAACGTCAACTGTGCACATCAACTCATGAGGGTGCTTCAACAGTGGAACTCTCCTAAACGATACTGAAGGCATTTCTGCCACAATCATGGCACTCACTGAGTCACTTTGTAAAAAACAGATTTTTACAAATGCCACTTCTAAGTGTCCTCAGATAGTCTGTTTATTTTTTTTTATAGTGGGCTCAATAATTGCTCTAAGTATTAAATATATGCTTAATTACTGTTGATTGTCAGTGAGTCTAGCATGACTTATAGTGATCCTGTGAACAAAAGGCCTGAGGCCTTTCTATAACTATCGTCATTTATCAAAGTTCATAGAGCTTCCAGAGGCATGCTGTTTAGGAAGTGGATGCCACTCCTGTGGATGCTATTACTTTAGGTATTAATATTCAAAACCTTCAAAAAAGTTATTTAAGTTAAGGGGAGCGCTGGTGGCCTAGTGGCAAGAAGCTGTACTGCAATCCCAGAGGTACACAGTTCAAACCCACCAGATGCTCTGCCGGAGAAGGAGGGACAATTTCCTCCTGTACCAGTCAGATCTGATTTGACGGTACATGCACAAAAAATTAAAAATTAAAAAAAAAACACACCAAAAAAAAGTTATTTAAAGTAATTGTTTTACAAATAAAGTTTCTAAAGGTCAAGGCAACAAGGCAACATGAAATTGCTATTTTTGTTATCACTAAACTTTTTGTCTTGAAAGTTTAAGAGTTTTCCACTTTATTATTATCCTATTTCTATATTATTCAGGGAGCTAAAAGAATTTAAAGAGGTAGTTTGTCAGAAATACTAATAATTTAAAAATTAGATGACTTGGAATCAAAGTTGAATGTGTCAGCATACAAACTTAATTATATCTCATAAATGAATATATCAACTGTTGTGATTTATACAAAATCAATTTCTTAGTGGGTGGCTGAAGCACAGCTAAAGAAAATACCCACCAGGTAAATGAATCCTAATTGAATTAACAACTTGGGATTTTAATTTGTTCAAATCAAGAAATGATCCTCATACCCCAGACGGTATCTATCCCATTAGTGTAACTGCCCGCAGAATATTCAATAGGCAAACATTTGAAAACATTTTGCTTAGTTATCAGATTATAAATCATACACAAAAACCCAAGCCAAATTTAGATGCGTATTTTCCTCTTTAAAATCACTTTAGCTGGTAATTCCACTGATTTAACAGCATGAGTAAACCAATAAAATGAACAGTTTAAAAATAACAGTTAACTGAAAACAGAACCACGGGAGTCACTGGGCGGCTGCAGGCCAAGCCAGTGCAGCGGTGTGGGCAGGGCCCTGTTACCTTCATCTATCCCACAGCTCTCTGCATTGCGATTGAGGGGAAAAAAAGGGAAGACCTTGCTTAGAAAGAGCTAACAGCAACCAGGTTAACAACAGACCACAGATACAGAACAGAGTTAAACACAATGCATAAACAACGGCTATAAATACCTATCACATTCTAACTTAGTGTTTGTATTTTTTTGAGGGTATTTTTTTTGAAGGTTGTGTTGATAAAAGCTGCTGCGTTGAACAATTAGTATTTAACTCTAAAAAAATAGTTTTTTTTCCTTCTCTGCAGGAATGTACAAATGACTCAACGGTAACATGACTATTTAAACCGAAATGTAAACCTTTTTCCAAATTGCTGCTATCTGACTAAATGCACACCGTTCACCTGCAGCTCCTGAGTGGGGACTCAGGCACCCCAGGAATGCAGGTCGGGGAGGTGCCACGTCACCTGTGATACCATCTCAGCATATCCAGGGAATCCCCAGCTCTGCGCAGACCCACCGTGCTGACCAGCGGGCGCATCCGAGCAGGATGGAGGCCTCAGAACCAGTCCTCCTAGGACAGGTCCACGTGCTTCGAGCGGAGAGTAGGAATGGCTCTAACTCAGGAACAGGACCAGGTCAGTGAGGGACAGTGGGCCCGGGCTTACTGCTGAGTCCTCAGCTGGAGTGAGTAACAGGGCGAGTTTCTGCTATGTGGTTGAGAGGGTTGCGAGGAGTCACAATTGACTTTCCTGCACTAATGAACAACCCCCTTTTCTCACAACTCAGATTCTGCTTGTCCGGATGAGTCCTCTCAAGCCCACGGTGCTTGTACAGAATCAAAGCCTCTTCTCAAGGTGACGACACCCAAGGCAGCAGCAGCATTCTCAGGGAGGGGAGCAAGGGCTCATCAATGTGGAACGAAGTGTTCCCGAGATGGTCAAAGCAGGGGAGACTCTGCAGCTGTAAGAGGGCCCAGGGAGGCCCCTGTGGGCCCTGCTGACTGGGCTCCACTCCCTAGGCCAGAGGTTCTCGCTCCACGTGGGACTAGGAATCTCCTCCAGCCTCTCGATATGTGGCCTGAGTTCTGGAAGCTACTCTTATCAGTTATTCAAGGCAATGAAACATAATTTTAAAGGAGCAGTGCAATTCTTTGAGTACATTAGTAAGAGTTATCCTTTGTTGTTGTTGACTGCCTTTGAGTCGAGCACCACTCACAGCACGACCCTGTGAACAAAAGGCCTGAAGCCCTTCTCCAACTCTCAACACTGAGCAAAGTTCATAGTGTTTCTGGAGGCATGTTAATTAGTAAGTAGGTGCCTTTTTCCTGCTTTAGACAATGCTAATCCTTTAATAATAAAGGTCTTTATTATCAGAGAGCCAGAAAACAAAGCTGTGTTTTTTTTCCTTTTAAATGAAAAAATATTTTTTACATTACTCTTCTTTACAAAGTGTGGAAAACAAAGTCCGCCTGAACGATGGCAGGAACTGGGTTTCAGACCCTTCTCACCACGTTGGAACCGGTGTGTGTAATAATTCTAGGGCTGAAAGTCCTCAAGAAGCAGCCAAGCCTCAATGCAAGGTGCCGGCTGCCAAATGCAAACAGGGGACCCGAGCGAGCACTTACTAGATGGCATGGTGTACGTGTCCTCCTCGTCTATGATCTCAGCATAGTCGTCTGTCTCTGCAGCAGGGGACAGAGGGACAATGCAAGCGGTTAGACGTGTGGCTTCCTGGTCCTGAGTCCACCCTGAAAAGGCAAAGCCACCTGCCCCAGTCCTCCACGACGCAGAAGCATGGTGGCTCAGCTTCTGCTGGTGTGCGAGTCATTTATGGAAATGAGAGTGACATCATTGCCCCACATGTTATAATGCAGACTTGTTCATCCGAGGACAGGCAGATCTCACACAGAAGGCCCTTGTCAAACACACGAACACACGGCAAATGCTCTGACTCAAGGACCAATTTGTCCTGATCCCAAGTGTCCACAAGTGGACCCAACCTGTGCTTCCCCCACACTGCCGTCCACCAGGCTCCCCTCTGATACCCGAGTGTACACTGCACTGTGTCTGAGCCTCCCTCCGAGGGCCATGTCCACACAGTGGACAGTGCCAATAATCAGTCTGCAGCACGAGGGGGCCCTTCTCTTCAGTGCACACCTGCTACCCTTTCTTTGAGGAGATTCACTGAACTTGTGCACAGCCCGGGTTCTGGACAGATGTCAGCAGGTATGTATCCTACCTTCCCCAAGGTTCCACTCAGACACCTGGAGAGGTTACATGAACAAATACCCTAACAGCAAATGCCCAAGGGGTCTGCTGCCGAGCCCGAGGACAAAGGGCACACTGATGTGGTGTTTCAGTGAGGACGCCCTGGCTCCACTTGCACGTATGCCTTTCTCAAGTGCAGCAGGTTCACAGGTTCACAGCCCACCACTGCATTACTGGGAAGCAGTTTCTCTGAAAGCAGCGGCAGGCCAGGGGACGGCCACGCTGGACGCTGAGGTCTTATCAGGAAGGGCATGAGTGGAGGTGCCTCATGCACGAGGACTCTGCCTGCTGGGCCAGCTGGGCCCCTCCACAGACATGGGCCTGGCGTCCACCACAGCCTCAGGGTTCTGTGCTCTGTCATTTCCTTAACGCAGGTGTGAAGCCCACAGAAACCAAGACAACAGATGGCACACGCAGTCTGCAGCCGTCGGAGGGCAACCTGCATACACGGCTCTGGTCACAGCAAAGAGAAGACAGGCTGGCCACAGTCCCACGGTGCCCATGGCAGTAGGTGGTACAAGTCAGGGGGCCAATTCTCCTCAAGACAAGCGTCACATGGAGAGGGCTCGCAGTGGAGCCCCAGAGGCAGAGGTTAAAGTGATACACTGGAAGGTCAGGGGTTCGAAGCCACCAGCCCTGGGGCAGGGAAAACAGAAGGCAACTTTTGATCCTTCAAAGATCACTAGGCATTCTGTGTCCAGGGTCACAGGAAGTCCGAACTGACGTAGTTTAGAACATCTTTAAGTCTTATCTAATGAGAGGACAATTTCTATTATTTTCATACTTATAAATAATGTTACTTAGAGGATTAAAGGGAACACTGGTGGCCTAGTGGCAAGAAGCTGCGCTGCAATCCTTAAAGCACACAGTTCGAATCCACCAGCTGCTCTGTGGGCGAAGGATGGGCAATCTCCTCCCATGTGATTAACTGCCTCTGAAAACCGGCGGAGAGTCAGCTGTGTGTTGGTTCCAACTTGATCGTACACAACAGGATTAAGGGAAAATCTGCAGTTGAAGAATTATCAATCTCAAACTGCCCGTTCCTGTCCTCTCCTGTGGTCAGTGACCCTTCAAGTGCAAGTTCTCTGCTTCTGGTGTGTCACGAGACAGGGTGAGAGCTGTGGGGAATGGAGGGGCCGTGCAGGCGTCTGTGTGACCAAGAACGGGGTCCAGCATGTCCCCAGGAGTCGGATGTGTCTCATGGAGCGGGAGGGAGTGAGGACACAGTGTCCGCTTCGTGCTCAGGACCAGCACACAACACCAGTGACACAGCCAGCCACCGAGGTCCTCAACTGTTTAGTTTACGACTCAAGAGCTCAGGGTAGGACACTCCGCTCTGGAATCACAGAAAACTCAGCAGGATTTCTGCAGACAGCAGGACTAGTGTCCAGGGAGGGCTTTTCGTGTCGAGGTCATACGTGTATGGATCTTGGTGTGGTGTGACTGACACAGTGCAGGAAATGATGGAGGTCCCAGCCTGTGTCCAGCTGCCCACTGTATGTGAGGGTCCTGGCACGGCGAAGGCCCACAGTGTGTTCCAAAGCCCATCGTTCTGCATGTCCTGGTGCGGCACAGGCCCACTGTATATCCAGGAGTCTGTTGTGGAGTGTCCCCTGGTGCGACGCAGGCCCAGTAGGTCCTAGGTCGTGGTGTGTCTCCTGTTGTAGTGCCGGCCCACTGTGTGTCCCGGAGCCCAATGAGATAAAGGTCCTGGTGTGGCGCAGGCCCACTGTGTGTTCCGGAGCCCACTCAGGTGAGGGTCTTGGCATGACGTAGGCCCAGTGTGCTCTGGAGCTGTGGTGAGGGTCCTGGCGCGGCACAGGCCCACTGTGAGTCCTGGAGCCTGTCGTGGTGCACGTCTCGAGTGACGCAGACCAGAAGGGAAACTCCAGCACGGTTTGCTCGGGTGAAGCGAGAGCTTTCTGTGTGCGGGGTGGGCGGGTGCTCCTACAGGTTTGTGTCATGTCTCCTCAAGTCACAGGGGTTCGGCACCCTTCCAGTGTACGCCAGCTCCCGCCGGTCATCACCTGTCCCCACGCTGTGTCCTCCTTCCTTCGTGGGTCTCAGCATCTGGCTCCTCTCTCTGCAGGGACACTCGACTGAAGCTGAAGCCAGTGGTCCTGCTCACTGCCCGTCCTCACAGTCACTTCCAGCCAGAGAAGAAACAGGACACTGCGGTTCTGGCTCAGTAGAAACGAACTGACTTCAACTGCACAGTGAGGTGTCATCCAGTTCCAGGCGAAGAAGGGAAGAAAACAGCACGTGCGAGGGGCCCAGGCAGGGACAGCTGTACGAGGCACACAGGACACCGTGTGCTCAGCAATCGTGGCCTGTGGCCAAAGCCTGTGAGAGAGCGTGCTCTGCGCCTGGGTCCTCGTTCCAAGGATGAAAGGAGACGCAGATGGGGCTGAGGTGTCCTGCCACCACGATGGTCCAGAGCAGGCACCCTCTCCCGTGGGGCTGCTGCGGCCTCGCTGTGGCTCCTTGGCATGCCTCTGAGCTGCTCCGCCAGCCCATGTGCCATGACTGTGCCAACTGCCCCACAGATGGCCCTGACTTAGAGCTCTCAGTGTGGCTTCCAACCCCAAGAGACTGGACGGAGCAGCAGCAGACTGGCTGAGCACGACTGGCAGGAATCAGACTACACCAAGTCCTTTGGTGAAGCCACAGAAAACCTGGACCATGAAGGAAGTGGAGGTGCGTACCGCCACATCTTGACCACACCCCAATCTATTCTGCAGTGGTTCTCATGGGCTGAATCAGCACCGTGACGTATGCAGACATCTGACCAGAAGGTTCAAGTGCTAACAGGTGATGGTTTGGCTGAGTTTCTGTTATTCTGGCCTGAGGGGTGGTTCCAAACGGAAGGAGTCCTGAAAAACCAGAGCCCAGCCTGAAGCTGCCTGGGTCCCCGATGCTGGCATGACGGAGGGATGATGATGCTGGGGTGACGAAGGTGTGAGGGCAACGCCACAGGCGCAGAGGTCTAGGCATAGACCGGGCACTCACTTTTGAGGACGGGATGCATTGCTGAGGTCTCACTGCAGGTCAAGAGCTGTTAGAAGACTCGATCAGTCATCTTGTCCTGAGGATGCAGCACCGTGACCATCAGCCCTGACGGAGGGGCAGCGAGAGGACGCAGAGCCAGTCGGGGGCAGGGAGGTGTCAGCACGGCCGGTGGTGCAAGAATCAAGCTTCTTGGAGACCTTTTATGACGCTAATGAGACCAGACACATGGCATGCTCTCAAACAAAGATCTTTACCCAAGGAAAAGTTCTGGATACTTCTCCAGCCTGGACTCAGTTCTGCTCCAGTCTGTCCAGACCTGGTACCCGGCAGAGTTTCAGGCGGCCTGGCCGAGCTACAGACTGGAGAAGCCAGAAACCGAGGCTTCTCCGCCCTGTGCTGCGCTGCCACAGAAGCACAAGGTCCACGATATGCCGACAGTGGTGGAGGAGACGGCTGCCAGCTCCTTGTGACAAGCAGGCAGTGAGGGTCCCAGTCCCGTCCTTGCAGGAAACACCTCTACGGTTATGTCGCCACACGTGGAGCCAGCATGTGTGCAGAGGCCTGGGCGGACGCCTCGGGCAGGGACACCAACAGCTGTACCATCAAGGGACCCGAGCAGCAGCCTCAAGACCAGAGCTCAGGAGCTGTGACCTGCTGACTCCCACACCGACGCCAAGGACAGTACAGACCCATCACGACCACATGCCCATCAGTGGCGGGTGGCCCTCCACTGGGCACAATCCTGACGTGCTGCTTTGACTTTGCTGCCATCTCCACCCTAGAAGGACTGGGTTGGCCGGGGGTCCCCCAGCAGGATTAGACCGGCTGTGGTTAGGAAGCTCTGGTGTGACCACACTCCCAGTCGGCACCGTCCCTGGGTGACCACTTGCTACCATGAAGTGGGGTTGGGCTCAGTGGCGCTTCACCAGGTTTCCAGGTGCATCGGTCCTGTCAAGACGAGGCTGCCCACCCGGCCCCATCGAGCAGCAGGTGGACTCACCAGCCCGACCTGGTTAGCAGCCTGATGCATGACACTCGGTGCCACCAGAGCTCCTTTCTCCAGAAAACTCCAGAAGCCTTGAGAAACAATGAGGCCTGCGTGCTCCTAAGCACCAGAAGAGCCCTACTCATTCCTCAGTGTTAATGCTGGCCTTGGACCAAGGCCTGCAGATGCTTCTGGAAAGGAGCTCACAGGGGAGTTTTAGGCTTGACGGGTCACGAGGTCTCAGTGGCACCCTCCCTGGGCCACTGCAGCACGCAAGCAGCCTCTACTGTTAGGTGACAGGTGGGTGGGGCTACCTCCAACAGCACTTTGTTCAGAGACGTGGAAGTTAGAACTGTCCCGTTTCCATATTCTTCTCTGTGACAGTAGCCCTGCCCAAGTCATCTGAAGCAACAGACACAC